TTATTATTATTATTATTATTATTATTGTATTTAATTTAATTATTATTAGTTTGTATCCCAAGTATAGCCCGTAATTTGGTTTATAATTTATATATTGAATGATAATTATAATGAAAATCAAATAAATTATGATAAATTCAATGTTAATATAAAATATGCGATAAAAAGTGAGAAATTATGTGAAAATATATGAAAAAATGAATAAAATATAATTATGACAAAAGTTGTGTTACTTTTTCCCATTAAATACTATATTTATGGCTATATTTAGCTAATTATACATACGTTTAACGATATGTTAATTAAATTATGCTTTCATTTGATGTTTATTATGTGAAACTAGTTATGAAAATGTGGTTAAAGTTATGAAATGCGATACAATTGTATCAATAATACAAACATAGTAGTGGTTACAGTGAGTGAGCAATGTCATTGATTTGAGCACCATTGGTTTAGTATGTTTATTAAATAAACAAGGCGAGTTCGAAATATTGGAATTTTTCAGTTTTTGTGGGGTTATAAAAATGAAGTTGTTAAGAAGTGAATAACATGGTGATTGTATGCTATCATATACATAGGTCAAACCATAAGTTTCCGGAATTATCTTATCTCCATACCCTTGAATAATTATAAGGAGTAAACACTTATGTTAATGTGATTAATAATCATTAATGTTTCAACTCTTTAATTATGAAGTTACGTGTTATTGTGTTTATTCTTGTCGTGTTGGCACTCATTAAAGCGGAGGGGCCAAATTTGGACAATCTTCGGGGCAGTATTACGGTGGAGGAACAGAGAGCATTTATTAAGGTGAATGTTTTATTGGATACTGCACCCATTGTTGTTTCAGCCCAGCTACAGACCGCTGTGCCTCAAGGCCATATGAGTCAGACACAGGTATACTTTTGGTATAATGAATTTAAAGATGGAAGACGGACAGACATCACTGATCTACCTAGATCAGGTAGACCGAGGGAAGCCACTAATGAAGAGAATCAAGAAAAGGTTAGGCAACTCATTTTGGAGAGTGAGGGAATGCGGACAGAAGACCTGCTCTATGAAACACAACTGTCTCATACAAGCTTAATGAGGGTTCTTAAAGAAATAAAAGCTAAGAAATTA